TTGTTGTTGTTGTTGTTTGTTGTTGTTGTTTGTTGTTGTTGTTTGTTGTTGTTGTTTGTTGTTGTTTGTTGTTGTTTGTTGTTGTTTGTTGTTGTTTGTTGTTGTTTGTTGTTGTTTGTTGTTGTTTGTTGGTGTGTGTTGTTGTTTGTTGTTGTTTGTTGTTGTTTCTTGTTGTTTGTTGTTGTTTGTTGTTGTTTGTTGTTGTTTGTTTGTTGTTGTTTGTTTTTGTTGTTGTTGTTGTTGTTGCTGTTGCTGGTTGTTGTTGTTATTATTGTTGTGCTGGTCGTTCGTAGTGCTAAATGCGTATCCCCATGCTCTGAATGAGCCTTTGTAGTGTTTCCTTGCTAATGTATTTGGTAAACAAATCTGTGCTGTTGTGAAGTGTGTTGATCTTAAAAGTTCTGATGATGTCGTGTTTGATGAGGTCTTGTGTGTAGAGAAATTTGAGGTTGATGTGCTTTGCTTGTTTGCTTGTGCCTTGTCGTGTAGCAATGCTCTTGCCTGCTGTGGAGTCTGTGTGAATGCGTAGGTTTAGTTTGCTGCAAATGTTGGTTTCAAGTAGGAAGTTTCTGAGGTGTAGTCCTTCATTAACTTCCGTGCAGATGGCGTAGACTTCAGAGTCTGCTGAACTGAGTGCTATTGTAGCCTGTGTTCTGCTGCCAAATGCAACTGTTGTTCCAAGAAAGATGATGTTGAAACCTGAAGTTGATTTCTTGGTAGTAGGGCATCCTGCCCAGTCGGCATCGACATGAGCGTCGAGATCCAGGATGTTGTTGGTGTTTGCTCTGAGTGTTGTTGTTGTTGGTTCTATGGTGATTTGTAGTGTTTGGTGCCGTGCAAGTAGCGTATTAAGTGTTTGACTCTCTTGTGTGAAAGTTCTGTAGGGGCTGTGAGGTCTCGTGCTAGTTCTTTTGTTGCGTATGCGATGTCTGGTCGTGTGTGTGCTAACCATTGAAGTTTACCAACAATCCTTCTGTATCTTTTGTGTTGTTCGTGGTCAAGTAGTGCTTCATCTTCTATTGTTGGTTTGTAGTGGGCGATTCCTGGAGTGGTCACCGTGTTGCAGTTGATCATTCCAGTCTCCTCGATCATGTTGTCGATGTAGGAGTCCTGCAGTCCAAGGTTGCAGTAGCTGCCGAATGGTCTTGTTGTGGTTTACCAGTTCTGGATGGCCTCGAAGATGGAGTCGACTGTAGTTTTGTCTCCAAGCCCAATGGGTCGTCTAGGTAGACCATGATGTAGCAGTCGCGAGTCGCATTGGTGTAGTTTAGTCTCACAAAGCTGAGCCTGTGTAGTACTTCAGCCAGGTAGTCCTGCCATGCTTTAGGTGAGCTGCGTAGTCCCACACATCGCTTTCTTTAGCCGCCATAGTTTGTTCTGTAGTGGGCAAAGATCTTTAGGTGGCCAAAGGTAGACGTCGCGTTGTCTGCCGTCGTGGTCCTGTGCGACGGGTGCGTGTAGAAATGCCGTAGAGACGTCGCCTAGTCGCGCGATCCAGTTTGGTCGTGACATTTATAGCGCGAGAAGTGTCCGTAGCGTCGTGAACATTGGGGTAGAGGCGTAGACGGAGTCTTCGTCCTCGATCTTTTCAGTGTAGCCTTTCGCGACGATTCTACTTCGCACTCCTGGTCCTTTCTTTCTGTGGACCCATCTTGTAGGGATTGCTTCTTTGATGACGTTGTCATTCCTTCCAGTAGTTAACCTTCGTTGTCGAAGATTATAGGTAAACTTCGGAGCTGTCGTCGTTTGTGTAGGGAGTGATGGATGTTCCGTTGGGTAGTGTTACTGCTTTAATTTTCTGTCGTAGTGGGTGTCCTTTGAGGTCTTCTGTGCTTTGGTTGGTTGCATTACTTCATCCGGAGTCAAGAGTCGTAGTGTTTGTCGAGGTGGTGCTGGTAGTGGTGGATGTTGCCGTCCGGTTGGTGAAGTAGCCATAGGGCTATCCGGTAGTGGTCGTGAACTTGACGTCGATGTCGACGGAAGTCGTGGAGGTGACGTAGCGCGTTGTTGTTTTGTCGCGGGTTCCACGACATTGTCGTCCGCCACGTTCGTCTGTTGTCCGAAGTCTTGCGTAGATCGTCTCTTCTCTGACGATTGTAGTTGCGTGTCCAACAGTGTTGCAAATGACGGGTTGTAAGTGTTCCGTCGTGGCGCCCAAGGTGTGCCGGAAACTTTGTTTAGTAGTGCAAGGTCTGCTGCAAGGTCGTATTTGAAGTCTGGTTGTAGTGTTGCGACGTAGTTTTCTCCGGTTTCGGGAACTTTTCCGGGCCAGATGCATTTCTGCATCTGTAAGTCTGCTTTCGGAAGTTTCTTGTGTTGTGGTGGAAGGTAAAGTAGTGTTTCTCCAATTTCGAAATCGCTCGCTCGTAGTTTCTTCCCCAGTGGCGTTCGAAGCTTGTGTAGCCGTCTGAGTGGATGACGTAGCGATTTTCCGTCCATGCTGCATGTCGTACTATCCATGGTAGTACACAGTGCTTCGTGGACATTGTCATGCTGTAGTTGCTCTCAACTTGTGCTTTGACAACGCGTACCTGTTGGAGGAGTGTTCGATGTAGTCGCTCAACGCTTCCTTGACTGTTGCTGCTGTAGGCGGGTGCATGTCGAACAGTCATTGAGCCAACTTTGGCTGCTGTAGCTTTTAGAAGTGCGTTGAGTGTGTCTTCGTGGTCACTTTGTAGTATGCCTTGTGTTCTTCCGCGCTCAAGGATGAATGCTTGTAGGTTGTTGACCATGTGTCCATCATTGATGGTTTGTCCGGGACCATTGCCGCCATACACAGTTGTGTAGTAACATCAACTGCTGTTAAGACTGGTATGGTCTTTGGATCTTGTTGTGACGTGATGTAGGCAAATTCTACTTGAATGACGGGTTGTCGTGATTGTTGTTTCTTGTAGTTGTCTTGGCGTCCCTTGCCTTACGCGCAAATTGGACACCCATTTCTGTATGGTAGGTGTGTCAAGTTGTGTTCTGCTATTTGTTGTGGAGTTGGTTGCTGTGGTTGTCGTAGTCCTCTTGCTCTGTGTGCTTTGTGATGCTCGTGTTGTTGTTCCTCATCGTGGTTCTCCTGGATGTACTTGTAGTCTTTCTTCATGGTGAACCTTGTTGTTCCTTTCCATTGAATTGGTAGTGCTGCGTTGCCCATGACTGTCCTCTTTGCGTTGTGAAACTTCTCCAAAGTTGTTGTGAGTGTTGTAGTTCTGTGAGGTACAAGTGTGCTAGTTGGTGGATGTCCTGGACATCTGTTGGAGTAAATAGTGTAGTTCTAAGTGATGCGTGGTGCCTTATCCAGGGTTGTCACCTTGTCTTTCCCAGTAGTCTTGGTTGTCTTCCTGTGCTGTGACTGGTCTGTGAATTGTCTCCTCTTGTTGTGTGGTGTCAAGGTCTGTAGAAGGTGCTGCTTTAGGTCTCCATATCCTTTTATGGAGTTCGTAGTTGGATCTTTGATCTTGTTGGTGGTGTATCCACATTTGTGGCTGTGAGCTCTGCCTTGTTGGCGTGGTCTTTGATGTTGCTCTGCGAATCTAGTTTCTCCAGTCCAGTTGTCACCTTCTAGTCTTCGTGGTAGTTCTTGCTTGGAGAGTTGTTTTGGGTTCTCTTGTAGTTGTGTTTGCTCTTGCCCTTTTCTGTTGATGATGGTTAGTCGCCAATCATCTAGTTCTCCTTCTGGTATCGGGCAGCCGCTGTTGTGTGGTGAGAAAAGTGCTTTGCGTGGTCGTTTGTGAACTCTGATGGCGTAGTCACCATCAAGTTTCCAGTAGTCAGTGTTTCCACCAAGAATCTGTCGCAGTCCTTGGTCTGTGTGTGTGAGTGGTGCAATTTGTTGTTGTTGTTTTGCTTTCTCTGTAGGTTGAATCGCAGCAATGGATTTTCCATTGTCTATAGTCATTGGGTAGATGTCAAATCCTGTAGG